TAGTTGTTCTTTGCGCAGTCTTTGCTCTGTGAAGCTATTTTGTGCACATTCTTTCGACTGGTGAAAGGCCAGAAAAGTGGGGGAGATGAGATGGACCCGTGCCAAGCCTTTAATCCAGCACACTCTGGCTCCTGCTTCTGCTTCGCCTACGTATTCAGCCTTCACTGCTGGACCTAGGCCAGCAGCAGCCCCCAGTGGCCTTATTCTTGCATAACGTGGACTTTCTTTGCTGCCACTGTCTAATGGCTGGGTATCATCACCCCTGTTTGCTCTGCTGTTACAACCCTCTGCAAAATGCTTCATTTTTTATTCATTTAGGAAGAAAAAGAGTGCATCATAAATCCAGCCCCTCACTGTCCCCCAGCCAAAGACTGGAAGGTGTGAGCAAAGCAGGATACGAGAGATGTGCCGGATCTACAGGAGGCATACTCATTTTACAGTGTTTAGTGGATTAATTTTAGAACCACTCTTTTTCTCACATCTAATTAGAGCACAGGGGGACTAGAAGGGTGTGGGTCAGAGCAGCTCTCAAGCACCAGCTGGTCAGCAGAGGTTGAAGAATGGGACAAGAACAACATTCAAGTAAAAGCTCAGTCCCTAACCACTTGGAGGAGTTTTCTTCCCAAAGTGCACAAGAGAGCAAATCAGATTTGCCAAGGTGGTGCCCCAGCCCTATGGGTGACATAGGCAGGCACGTGTTTTGCTGTCCCTCTTTCCTTTCTGTGCATTTGCTCAAATGGTTGTTGTTCTGTCCCAGGATGTGTGCACCTGTGATGGTGGAGTTGGAAGGAGAGACAGACCCCTTGCTGATTGCCATGAAAGAACTCAAGTAAGTCCCAGATTTTCACAGTGAGCATATTTATCTCCATAAACCAAGCAGTTGTCTCCTTGTCCCAGCATTTAGCAGCTGATTCCAAGACAGCCTTGTCTTCCCTCAATAACAGTGAGGGAACTACAGTTGCCTTCCCTTTTAACACCTTAGCATAGCTGCTCTCTCCCATCCCAGCTGTTCGTGCAAAGTACCAAGGATGACCTCTTTGGAATCAAATTGTTCTTTATTTCTGTGATGGGAACTCAAGGTCCTCATCTTTTTGGAATTAGTTTAATTCCCTGCATGGAATTGATTTGAAAGCAGCCATCTGAACAGACTTCTAAAATAAGTGCTTTCAAAAAACACAGTAAGGATCAGGCTGGTGATGTGGAGACCCTGTTCAGGATATTTTCATGTACCCTTCCACACTTGGTTTATTGAGGCATGTCCTCTGCTTACAGAAAGATAAATAAATCCTTTATTACTGTAGCAGTGGCAGCTTCTATATGACCACTTATAGGCCCATCTTTCCACAGCAGAGCTCCCTGCTGGCCCCCAGTTTGCCTGCATGGTCGGTGACCTAGATCATGTACAGGTATCCTTCAAGCAGAGCAGCTGGATCTGTTACTGGTTAATTCTCTGTTCTTGAACTGCATTGTCCTTCTGCTTCCCCAGTTTCTCAGTGCATTGCAGTTGCTCTGGCAGATTTTTGCATGTTACAGCTCCCTTTATCATTGCTAAAAGCTTCTTAGGTCATGTTCCTTGTCAGATCTCCAAGCTTGGTCTGATTTGCTTCTGGCCCCTGTCTGAGCGTGAGCTCTAGAAAGTAAGTCAGGGTGTGACAACAGTATAGTGGCGTCCTGTTCTGTGCCAAAATTCACTTGTAATTCTTGGCGTGGGGGAGCTGCTTTGCTACTGGAAAAACAATGGCCTTGAATGTGATCACTAAAGAAGTTGTATTACTTTTCAGGTCTGATATGGTTGAAACCTGATGCCCTGGTTAGATTCCAGACTGTCTGATTACATTCTGCTGACTTAAATCTACTTCCATTAAGTTAAATTGTGTTCAGCATTTTCTTGCTTTCTAATTGGAACCACTGCTAGCAGATGCTGTGCTCCACCCCTGCTGTACCAGGTTTTTGTCCCTGAATAGTCACTATTTCATGTATCCATCTTAAAATGGTAATTCATGTTGTCAGGGTGCAAAATTCTGTAAATACCAGTTTGTCGTGAAGATTCTCAGAATTCTGCTACTTTTGTAGTGTCTTGTGGGGAAAACTTTTTCATCAAAGAAAAAGTGGATTTGTTCAAGTCCCTTGATTTTTCTTTTTTCCCCTGCATCAGTGTTAGATACTTGGTGATATCTCGTGGTGAGTTCAGCTCACAGGGCTGAACTCCTGCATAGCAATAGAAGGCTGACTTTTGTAGGTCTTTGGTTGTTTTGAGTCTAAGGGTGCTCGGTGCTTTGCACCTACAAAAGAGAGAATGTTGTTGGGACTCCCCTTTACTATATAATACCAAATCACCAGTGCTACACAGATCTCTCAGTTAAACCTGAGCAGCTTACTGAAGGCACTAAGCACCTCAGTTCCCGCTGCCTGCTGAAGTGGTATAGTGAAGGCTGTGGCATTTCTGTTCACTTCTCTGTCTCCTTTCAGAGCACGCAAGATCCCCATAATCATCCGTCGTTACCTGCCAGACGGGAGCTATGAAGACTGGGGTGTGGATGAGTTAATCATCACAGATTGATCAGCCTCCAGCCATTGTTTTAGCTCTTTCCTTCTCCAGAGATGTTTCTATTTTTGTTTATATTTGTGTAAATAAATTATAAACCTACCCATTTGAAGTTGAATGTGTTTGAGTCTTTTTTTTCCTCCCACTTCCTCTTTGTATAGGTCCTACATGCCCGTAGACCCAAAGAATGTATTGTGTTGGAAGAGACCTTTAAAGATCATCCAGTCCAACCCCCCTGGAGTAAGCAGGGACATCTTTAACCAGATCAGGTTGCTCAGAGGCCTATCAAGCCTGATCTTGAATATCTCCGGGGATGGAGCCTCCACTGCCTCACTGGGAAACCTGTTCCAGTGTTTAACCACCCTCCTACTGAAGAACTTCTTCCTAATGTCTAATCTAAATCTACCCTGCTCTGGTTTAAAACCACTTCCCCTTGTCCTGTCACTACACACCCTTGTAAACAGTCCCTCCCCAGCTTTCCTGTACCCTTCAGCTACTGGAAGGCCACTATAAGGTCTCCTTGGAGACAAGTCTTCTATCAAGACTCTCTTCTTTCTACCGCCTTGATCATTACTCTTTCTTTCTGTGTTGTGGGCTGCATTAGTAAGATTAAGGAGCCAAGTGCTGTGCTTTTCCTGCAGTTTCTTTTTTTTTCACCTGCAACGGCCCTATCTTTTAGCTAGGCTAAAGGCTGCAGTAAATCATAGAATCATTAAGGTTGGAAAGACCTCTAAGATCATCAAGTCAACTGTCAGCCCAGTGCTACCATGCTCACTAAACCATGTCCCAAAGTGTCATGTCTACATGTTTTTTTGAGCACCTCCAGGGATGGTGACTCCAACACTTCCCTGGCCAGCCTGTTCCAATGCTTGACCACTTTCAGTAAATAAATTTTTCCTAATATCCAATCCAAACCTCTCCTGGTGCAACTTGAGGCCATTTCCTCTCATCCTATCACTAGTTACTTGGGAGAAGAGACCCAACACCCACCTCTATACAACCTCCTTTCAGGCAGTTCCTCCTCTTCTCCAGTTATAGGACTGATAGCCAATTAAACTGCTGTACAAAAATGCTCCTGCGGGTACTTTGGCCTCAGAAAAACTCCAGCCCTCTGCCCATGTTCCATCTTAAAACAAGAGTGCTGAGATACCTCCATTGCTTCTCCCAGACAGTTGGGCCTTTGTGCCCTGAGCAGGTTGCTGTGGAAACCCCCAATTTCCTCTCTGGCTGGGGCTGGCTGTGGGGCTTCTCAGGAGTATCACAGAGCAGCTCTCATCAAATCACCTATTGTTTCCCTGCTCCTGCTGCTTATCAGAGGTGGGGATCCCCTTTCAGTGGCACTGCCCCAGCCGGAAGCACAGTCACCACTCGCAGTCCCACCAGCTCAGCAGTCGTAGGTTGTTGCCACGCTTGTTCCTTGTACAGCTGTCCTCTGACAACTGATGGTCCTGGGGATGTGAGTGCTCTCCAGCCATCTCGGTTGTACATGTGTGTCAGTTGTATGTACCCCCATGGAACTTACAGTGGCACAACAGTAGTTAAACCCTAGAGTTCCTTTAATCTGTAATGTGATGAAAGACTGATGATTTGTCTCCTTAAAATTGTAGCCCCTTGCTCAAATCAAGAAGAGTGGGGTAGATGCATTGCAATCGGCAAGGGCTTCTAGCCAGCCACTATCCAGTTTTAATTTCTTGATCTTGCGTGTGCTCCAAGGTTCTTACTCTGCGTGAGGAAGATCTGAGCTCTTGGGTAAAACACGTTTAATTATCTTACAGAGAAGTGCTCATGGTATTTTTGTTTGGTTGTTTTTTTTTTTAAGAGAAGAAGGGGAAGGTGCACCTTGCTTATGGTTTCTACTTGACATTAGTTTTTCTCTACACTGGTCCAGGAAGAATATTCCCAACTATTTTGTGTTAAAGCTTGTGCTTATACACAAAGCGTGCATTCTCCATGCTATATGTGTGGTTGGTGCCTGCAGGTGATTATCCGTGTCCCACAGGGAGTTTAGATCTACCTGCCTGGGAACTCAGCTCATATAACCAGCCATGAATGTCATTCTCTTACTGCTCCCTCTAAAAGCACCAGTCCATCCTTCACCTGTTGGTGTGCACAGGAGGGGCTGGTTTTGGAGTGAGAATGCAGGACCTGAATGGGTCCCTGGGCAAAAGTGGCAGGTCAAAGGGAATGTGGAGGCGCTTGCAGGTGTGGGGAAGGGGTTGACTGTGAGGAACACAAGTGCTTCCTGGTCCAGGCCATCCTTACCAAGAAAAGGTTAATTTGCAGCACTGTGGCCTTCAGCCTCTCCCCCCACCCTCCATGGAATCCTTTAATCACGTTGGTGCGGTGAAATTTCAGTCCTGAAATGGTGCCTTTGTGCAATCGTTTTGGCGTCCGCCATGGTGCGCGGGGGTCGTTTTCTTGTCCCTTTTTTTAATTTTTTTAAATGACTTCTTTGTTCCCTCCCCGCCTCCCCTCCCCAGCCCTGCATCTGTATCAGATACGATTAAAGGGATAGGGAAGGATGCCGGGCCAGCTCCTGCTAGACTACAAGAGGAGTGGTTAACCCCTCTGTTACCAGCAGCATTCTCAGTCCTGACTTAGTTGTGAGGACCCTCACAATGAGAGGAGGCATCTCCTTCCACTAAAGAATGATTGAGGCAAAGCCCACTCATTTTCTTAATTTGCTTCTGGAAGAGCTGGAGGAGGGTACCTGTGTGTGGTTGAGAACCTACATTTCCCACTCTTCTGCTCACCCACACCATGTCCCTTCCCTCTCCCACCCCTGTGATCAGCTGTTCTACCCCTAACTCCACCATGGCTTCTGTTCTCCCCCACATGTGGTCCTGACCTGGTCAGCAGTACAGTACTTTACTTTTGGACTCTTCCCACAGCCTGTAATTTGGGGTAGAGATTTCTCCTTCTCTCCAGTGAATGGCCACAGTCCTATTTTGCATGGAGCTCTTTAGCTGACATCATCACTGTTAGATCCCTGAAGCCATTTTGCTGATGATGCTCTTAGGCCCATACAGGGCTTCATCCAAATAATACTGTGAGTTTTAAAAAGCTCTGAATGTGTTCCACAGCTCCTAGACATCCTGCTTACTCTACTCACCCATAGAGTGTTTGGTGAACGCAAACTCTCAGGATGGATCACATTGAAAATTTGGAGTCAATTTGTAATTGTGGAGTCTCTGTTTTAGTTGGGATCCTACATTGCTACCATTGGCCTTGAGAGATGTTCTTAAGCAGACCGATATCTGCTGTACATTTTCTTTCCAAACATCATCAGATAGCCTCCCAGGACCTGAGTACACTCAGGATGTCTTCAACAAGTACACAGGTATACACATCTATTCTTGAATATATGCTCTGTGTGTGAGTGCGTGTGTTTGTATTTAGGTTCTTGCTTGTGGAAGGCAAGAGACCAAGGGGCCTTCTCACCGAAGAAATGACTGGAGCTGGTGTGGGAACAGAAGATGAGTTTCATCTCCAGGAAGGAGGCTGGTAAACTGGTCTGAGTTACACCTATTTCTCTTCATAACAGGCAGAGGAAGGCTGTGCACAGGATCCGTATGGTGATGGTGTGACCCACTATACACTTGCTGGGGGATAAAATAGAGACTTGCTGGAAAGAGGTAAAAAAAAAAAACCCAGTCATGTGAAAATGAAACTTTTAAGTTTATTATTCCATATGTTTAATGCAGAGTTAATGGTGCTAGGACAGCATACAAACTGGGGAAAAGGAGGTGGGGGAGGAAGGTGCTACTTGCATAAATAAGGGGACAGGGCTGGAAGAGGTTACATGTGTACAGGAAGCAAACATTCTACATGATCTTTTCAGACACCACAAGGAGAAGTCATCCATAGCTAAGGGAGGCAGGAAGGGCATCTGACAGTCATATCAGCAGACGGAAACAATGACACCGATCACAGTCCACGTTTGGTCAAAGTATTTCATTTTTCTAGACTGGAATATCCATGGGAAGATCCCACAACGTGTCTCTGTGATCAACTGCCAAGGGTCATCTTCTCCTGCAACAACTTTTGTGCCAGTTCACTCCCTGGCATGACAAAACACCCCAGTCCTGGAGGTAACAAGGGAGAAGTAAGCAGACTGTCCTCAGGTGTTGGGCTGAAAACAGGAGGATGATCTGACTGTAAGAGCTGGTTGTTTCCAGTTTGAAACCCAAAGGGAGAAATTAATTCTTTTGCACCTAAATAGTCTTATGTTCTTTACACTTTTCCAAGATTGGGTGCGTGTCTACTTTGCTTAAAGCCGCAGGAGTATCTTTCCATCTTCAGTGTAGGTAAGAGGGACTGGAAGACATGAACAAACGAGCAGGGATGCAGACCCCGTCAGCCTGAGTTTGGAGTGCGGGTTCAAAGAAAGTACTGGAGTCAACTCAGGATGTTGGCAAATGCATAGTAGCTTTCTTGGTGCCTCTTCATTTCAGGGAGGCATAGTCAGACATGGAAGAGCAAGGACCAAGTTTTCTCAGAGGTTGTTTAGGATACTGAAGAGACTGGAAAGGACTGAGATGCCAGAAATGCCAGACATAAATGAGTGATACAGAGCAATTGTAAGAAAGGAGGATTCACCCACAGCACCTTAATGATCCACCGATCTATCCCCACCTCTCCTACACCTCCATACGTGAACACACGTGCACACACAGGCTATGGTATGAGTAACGGTAAGACCAACTATGCGGTTTCCTGAGTTGTACACGTTGTTCAGGCAAGCCTTAAAATCTCCATGCAGGAAAAGCGTGGTATTAAACAGAGACAGGATGGAGAGCAGAAGCAGGGAGAAAAGCTAGGATGCAGCCGTGGAAATCAGGAGGGAAGCAAGTGTAGGTTAGTCTTCCAGCGGGGTTCAAGATTCATGCATGTGTGAATCTTAGGCAGGGCTGCTGCACGATGCTGATTGCAAGGAAGCCAGCTGTGCTGTCCTCCCTACTACTCCTCCCATAACAAGTTCACCAAGGCTGAGCAATCACCCTTCACCCACAGCAGGTGACAAAGTGTTGGCCATTGCGGCCTGTTGGAAACTAACTCCCTGGAGCAGTTTGAGGAAGGGAAGGAAAGGACAGCCCCTCTCATCGTAAAGTCCAGGGCGTGCACAACAAAACCCAGCACGGACCAGTCACTTCATGTCTAGAATCCTCCTCATCTAGAAGGCCAAAAAGGTGTCACAAGCCAGTCACGTGGCCTGCATGAAATTGGTAAAGGGCGAAAGGATGAAAAACCTTCCTCTAGGCGGGTGAGCCAGCGATAGCCGGGGTCAAGAAAGGCACTTCTGTATTCTCAGTGGGTTCTGGTGGCTGGATGGCACTGAGTGACCTCGGAGTTCGGAGGCTCTTCTGCCTGTGCTGATTCTTCGGAGCCTTTCCGTCGCTGCTTCGGTCACCGTTCCCCATTCCCTATGGTCTGGAGAGAGTCGTATACACGGGCTGTTCCCAATGTGTGGGGCTATGGGACTGTGGCACGGAGGGTGCAGGGTCAGAGATGGCAGTGTAAAGGGGACGTTGCGAAGGTCCCATATAGGAGAAGGCAGAGTAGAGGCCAGAGGCTTGGCTGGAATGGCTGTAGTAGGGTCCCGAGGGCTGATGGTCTGGGTAGTCAAACTGGGGCCTGGAGATGGAGGGAAAGGCCGAACCATAGTGGGGCAGACTCAGGGATGTGTAAGCTATCTGGGAGGTGGAGGGCTGGTCAGCGTAATGACCTCCAGGGGCAGACCCCTCTGTTTTCACCTGGGCCTTGGAGTCTACCACGGATGAGGTGGCGGTGGACAAGGAGACTCCATGCTGCTTGGAGATCCAGGCAGAGTGTCCGCTGGCTGCAGCCAGGGCGCTCCCGAGGCCGTAAACCGAACATGGCCCGGGTGGCCGGCGTGTCCGTTGGGCGGCAGGTATTGGTCGAATTCGTTGACATCGAAGGTCTCCATGTTGGACATCACTTCATGGCTGATCTCCCCAATGTCCACATTGCCAAAGTCAATGTGTGGTTTTCCTCCTTCCCCAAGGGAGCGCCCTTCTCGTTTGGAGTCGGCTTTGCCTGCCTGCAGCTCGGTCTTAGGGGTGGTGGGGGGCGTGGGGGGCCCGTGGCTCTGACCTGCAATGTGAAACACATTTTAAGGAGGAAAGAGAGAGAAGAGGTGAGTTACCACTTTATGCCTGGGCTTTATACACATGCTAGCTCCGCTTCTCTCAGTTTGCTATCTACACATGCCAGCTTCGTTCCTCCCAGTTTGCTAGCAACTGTTCAGCTGGACACTTCAGTGGAGGGAGAGGAAAAAGAGGGGGGGTGCAACGATACCTTCTTGCCTGACCAGTGCAAGTGCCCGTGAAACTTGCGCATGTCCCTGTACCACTGACTCCAGCAGAGTCTGTTGGGTCACGAGCAAGGTGTGAGCAACGTCGCTAAGGCTTTCACCGTGATGACCTCGTTTTTTGCCTCTGAGTTGGTTGTAACCTGTCAGCAGGTCCACAGAGACCTGGGACTCACCTGAGGAGTGTTCTGGGTGCCCATCAGACATGGGTGACCCTTCACCGGGATGCCTGTGGTCCAGGTGGGCGCTCTTGTAGTGGGCCTGGATGGCGGCAGCCCCGCCAGCCTCCCCCTCCACCTGGCCTTCGCCCTCGCCCTGTGTGGCCTTGCCATTTTTCCGCCGGCGGGGCTGGTACTTGTAATCAGGATGGTCCTTCTTGTGCTGCATCCTCAGCCGCTCCGCCTCTTCGATAAAGGGCCGCTTGTCGCTTTCGTTCAACAGCCTGCAGAGGCCAAGGCAGTAAAGAAGAGAAGAGGGGAAGGAGAGGGGCAGGTATGTCAGGAAAAAACTCCCATCTATAGACAACATTGTGGGACACAGTGTGCAAATGCAGATGTCAGGGTGTTGTCCCATGGGAGTTATTTCTCAGAACAATAGGGAGATCTTGGTAGAGTTTCACTGGAGACAGCAATATTTTCCTCCTCCTTGTTAATTATTCAGTCCTGACACCAGTTAGTGTCAGTGCTGGGTTCCCTTTCTCACCTCAGTCAGTTCAACACCTTCTCTTACATTGTCCAAAGGCAAAGGGTAGCCTTTCGTAGCCGTGTAAAATAAGGCTGGACAAGCTGCTTGCAAAGACTGTGGCAAAACTGAGGGCAGCTGGGATCATCCCTCAGACTAAGGCAGTGTGACGCACCCTTGCTACCTATAGTGCTGCCTCCTGCATGTCTTTTGCTCTCCCCCAGTCTGTATTTACCCTAGTTTAACCTCCCACCCTTCCATAGGCTGTGCTCCAAGTTTGAGGCTTTACTGAAGCAC